GATTTATATTTTATATATATATATGTATATATATATATTCATATTAGTCCACGTGTGTTCAAATAATAAAACAGAAAATAAGACAGAAAATAATGATGCGGAAACGTTGAGTTAGACAGTAGAAGACAATATAATTTATTCAGGAAACGAATATTTCGTCTTGTCCTCAAGACTTCATCAGCGTAACTGAGTTACTTTTGTAACACTTCGCATACGTTGCGGAACGGTTGTTTAAGGCATTTGCATAGTCAGCAGAAGGTTCCGAGTTCGAATCCAGGTTGTGGGACACCATTTTTCACACTCGCAGATTCCTCTTCTTTAACGTTTAAAACGTATTATTTATCTATGGAGTTTATTTCTACAGTATTATGATATATGTAATATATAATATATATATATATATATATATATATATATATATATATCATCAAAGAAAAGTAAATACAGATGTAGGCAAATATATATAAAAATAAAACCAGAGTTACGGTAAATATTTGCCCTCGAAATGTGGCCAAAATAACAGATAACGAGTAATTTTTGCAAATCTTCACCGTATCTCATGTTTTGTTTTGTATTTTTGTTTTTTTTTTGTTTTATAGAAACAAAATTAAAATCATGAATAGCCTATGTTAAATCACCCTCTTGGAAAGGCAACTATCGTAGATTAACCAAACATGTGTTTATGCTGTTAAGAATCTAGTGGTGTTTATGCCAATCGTTTGCTTAATATGTATGGTTGTATCCGCTTCTGAGATTGGTGATATCCTGAATGGAAACTGTTACTACAAATCGATTGCTAAACAGTAGGTGATTATAGGCATGTAGGCATATACCTGACTGCAATTAATACTTGTGTATCAAATATGGCGAGAGTTAACTCTACCTTAATCGTTATCACTCTGCTGCTACTACTAGTTTTACAAGAGGGTGATACGTTTAGACGACGTAGACGGCGTCGCCGTCGTAGCGCTCCGCCACCACCGGCCGTTGATTGTAAATGGGGCCCGTGGTCTGAACAAGAATGCAGCAACGAGTGTGGACACAGTGGTGTAAAGATTAGAACACGAACTCCGGTTGTACATGCATCAGGTGGAGGAGCAATATGCAAAGGCTACACTACAGAAACGTTACCGTGCAATAGATTCTGCTACAACAACGGAACCGCAATGGATGGTTTTTGCAGTTGTCAGAGTCCTTACAGCGGGAAATGCTGTTCTGAGTGTGCGGTCAAGGAATGCCTATGGGGTGAGTGGGAAGGTTGGTCAAATTGTGTTCCTGATTGCGGGGGTAACCGTTTTAAGACACGTAGTCGGAATGTCACACAAGAAGCACAATGTGGTGGCTCACCTTGTTCTAAAAACCCCACAGAAGTACTTGAATGTGAACCAATTTGCTTAAATGGTGGCACCTTTCTTGCTGATCAATGCCAATGTGTTTTGCCATATAGTGGTGATTGCTGTGAAAATTGTCATGCGGTAGATTGTAAGTGGAGTGAATGGAGTCAGTGGACAATTTGCGAGCCAACTTGCGGGGGTAGTCGTCAGCGAACAAGGGTAAGAGAAGAAGTAAGCCCTGCCATGTGTGGCGGTGGTGCATGTGTGGGCTCAAATAAAGAATCTGAAGACTGTGAATCTATATGCTACAACGGCGAAGTATCTGCAGAGGGTCAGTGTATCTGTCAAGAGTATACTGGTCTTTGTTGTGAGGTTTGTTTGCCACTGAATTGTAGTTGGGGATCTTGGAATGAGTGGTCAACTTGTCAACCAGCCTGTGGAAACAATCGGCATAGGACTCGTCATCGAATCTTAAAAGGTCAGTCAAGATGTGGAGGTACCTGTTCCGGTCTTCCAGAGGAATCGGAGACGTGTACCTCGCATTGTCTAAACAATGGAAGACCTATGGATGGATATTGCTCATGTACAAGTCCATTTTCAGGAAATTGTTGTGAAAACTGTCCTCAGGTAGACTGCAAATGGGGTTCTTGGGGATACTGGTCTGCTTGTGATCCTGAGTGTGGGGCTGTAAGAAATAGATCAAGAAAAATGTTCATTTCACAAAATGCTCAATGTGGTGGAGCACAATGTGGACCACAACCATTAGAAATATCTTCATGTCCTCCAATATGCTTCCATGGAGGGACAGCAATTAGCGATGTTTGCCACTGCATACCGTCGTACACAGGAGATTGTTGTGAATTATGCGTAGCTATTGATTGTGTTTGGTCTGACTGGAGTTCTTGGTCAAGTTGTGAACCAGAATGTGGACCTAACAGATTACAGACGCGAACAAGAACTATACTGACCCCAGAGTGGTGTGGTGGATTAAGATGTTTTGGGGAAACAAGTGATAGTCAAACATGTTCTCCAATTTGTTTTAATGGCGGTACACCAACTAATAATACCTGTGATTGCCTTCCGTTGTTTAATGGTGAATGTTGTGGATCTTGTCAGCCGAGTGATTGTCATTGGGAAGAATGGCAGGAATGGTCATCTTGTCAGCCTGTATGCGGCACCAATCGACAAAAGACACGAATAAGATCAATTCGTGCTCATGCAACGTGCGATGGACTCTGTCCTGGCTCAAGCAAGGATAGTATACGCTGTAACGATACATGTGAGCATAACGGTACTCCTATGAATGGTTATTGTTCATGCCAAGAGCCATATTCTGGACAATGCTGCGAGAAATGTATTCCCACAGATTGTGAATTGACACCGTGGAACCAATGGTCAGGGTGTTCTCCAGACTGTGGTGTCAATAGAACTAGAACCAGGACAAGGTCAGTAGATCGTGAAGCTGAATGCGGTGGATTGGAATGTGAAGCTAGTTTATTCGAACAGGAATCATGCTCATCCTTATGTCATCATGGCGGTGTGGCTAAAGACGACGGATGCCAATGTCACACTCCTTACACAGGAGCTTGTTGTGAGACTTGTGGAGCAGTGGACTGTAAATGGACAGAATGGAGCCCCTGGTCCAGCTGCTTACCGGTTTGTGGAAATAAAAGGCTTCAGTCCAGGACAAGATTTGTAGAGAAACCAAGTTACTGTGGTGGGCAATGTGTAGGAAATAATACATCCACCCGACCGTGCGAATCAGTTTGTTTCAATGGCGGAAAACCAATTACGGCAGGTAGTTGTCAATGCCCAACACCTTACACAGGAGCATGCTGTGAAACATGCATTTCGGTTAATTGTACATGGGGACCTTGGGGAGATTGGTCAACCTGCCAACCAAAATGCGGAAGTACTCGTCAGAGACAGCGAATACGGATTATGGAGAGACAGCATGCATGTGGAGGAACATGTACTGGTTCTCCAACTGAAATTGAAGACTGTGAATCCCTTTGCTATAATAAAGGAACACCTGTGAATGGCCATTGTCTCTGTCCATTCCCATTCTCACCAATATCATGTTGTAAATCTACAAGTAAGTAAGCCTATGATTCACAACATCTTATTTAGAATCTTAATGTGTCTCTCAACAGCTAAGTCATAGTCTCACATAGTACCGTATAACTGCTAACGATCAACGACAGCGTATTATGTAAATTTTGCTTTGCACTACGTCAAAAGCATTTAGCATAGTTAGCAGTTTGGACTCGTAATACAATTTAAATTATAGAATTTCTCCAAATATGATTCGCTGGAAATGTTTTAAACTTTGTCAAAAATGTGGTCTATCACAAAACTCAATTAAAATGTTTATCCTCATCTTTCTTAGATGGCGATCCGTGTATCTATCATTCTCTGTTGAATAATCCTTGGAGAAGTATCGGTAACTCAGAAAGAATCAACAGTTCATGTGACACAGGTCTGAACTCTGACATTTGGTATCGATTCGGAAGTGTAGGTGGCAACCAGATGATTGAAAAATGTATTACTGTCAACAAATGTGGTGTAAAGTTTCCATTGTGGCTGAAGGGTTAGTTTTAACTGTGTTGAATATTAACTTTGAATTGCAAAATAATATAGGCTTACCCAATGTGAGAAACCATACACAACACACGCAAAGAAGCCCTTGGCATTAACAAACATATACAATTCCAGAGAGCAGCATAGCCAGTCGGCTAATTTTTTTGGTAGCCATTGCGTTTGCTCTGAACCGTAAAATGCAGTTTACCATAAATGCTCGAATAAGCGCCGCTCTCGAATAAACGCCGCTCTCGAATGCAGTATGTGCCGCACCAATCGTGATTTTTTTTTTTTTCGTTAAGTGCCGCGGCTTAAATTATATTTAAATTTTATGTCTGTAAGTGCAATTTCCGGCCATCTAGGGATTCCATAATCAAATTTCTTACCTGAGCCCCAACCATGGTGGGGCTGAGGTAGTAGATCCTCTATCTGTGAAAGTACTCATCCCACCCTCTAGGCCTATTTTAAATTCCTGGATCCGCCACTGGAAATTACAGTTCGCCCTCCAATTCGAGACGAATTTGGAACCTGAAAATTTGGGGTGGTCTCGGGGTTGGTCTCCAATTAAGGGGCTAGCTTTGTGTTACAAGATTGAATATTGCTATTTTGGTCTTTGGAAAAGTGGTCTTGAATTAGAGGGTCTCGGAATTAGAGGAATCTCAAATTGGAGGGTGCACTGTACAACATTTAAGAAGTCATAGGGGCCTATTACAGCAGCTTGATGCCTGTAAAATAATTAATAAATTTCACCAAACTCGTTAAAAATCCGTAGCTTCCAGGGGGATTCGTCCCCTGCACCCCACCGGGGCCCCCTTGGCTGCCCCTGGCCCCCAGCCTAGATGCTCGCTTCGCTCGCATGCTGCACCTTATGAAATCCCCCCCCCACCCTCACTTTCAAAAACGTTCCGCCGCCGTTGTTCACAGTACACTCTTTTTAAAAGATCAGGAAATTGTCTTTTGGTGTACTGATTCAATATCAAGTCAGAATTTCTGAATAAATGCATTGTAACGATATCATGGCACAACATCATGTACTCCTTCACATTTACATGATTTCTATCGAAGTAATTCATTTGAAATTCAAGTCATCGGTCAGTGTTTAAGCGTTAGCTCGTCTATTCACTACCTTCACTACCATCATAAGATAGTTTGAAAGTCTCGAAAGACCGTCGGACTTGAACGGTTACTATAAAATATCACTTTCACCTTTAATATTTTAAGGCTTAATTTATGTATACAGACCCTAGTGTTCTTCACGTTACAAGCTTTAATTTTCCACTGTGTATATTTTTATATTTTTTATATTTTATATCAATTACATTTTCCGTTATTTTGTATGTAGTGTTGTCGTTTGTCTTTGGATCGGAAATGTCAGGTCTTCCCTTAAATTTTGAAGAATCTTAATACGGAATACATTAAGTAAAATAAGGGTGTATTCATTTATTTATTTAATATTATTACAGGAAAACATCCCACAACTTCTGGACAGACGACAGAAGAAGACGCGTGCGTAAGTGCCAGTAAAGACGGTGTCACAAAATGTTGCGAACACAAAACAACTGTCAAAATCAGAAAATGTTCCGATTTCTTTGTTTATCAGCTACCTACTACTCGTACATGTGACGAAGGATATTGTATTGGTAAGTGAAGTTGATTCGCAATAATCTAACAATTAAATGATTTATTGGGCAAACAATAACTACAATCCTTTCAGATAAACCATATCCCTGGTTTTCAATTAATTTGTTTGAACTCTTTCCGCTAAGATAACTCTAAAGTTGAAATTATACTTTTCGTTGTACTAGACAGCAAACTAAAATTGGGTGGCGGGAAATGTCTGCGTCGATGTATCATTAGTTGTTAGTCAATTTTGATTGGTCGCTTTATTAATCACAATACAAATTACTATATCGCTTCCCGTACAAATACGAAAGTTTTCCCCATGTACTCAGTACGCATTTGTAGGACTAGCGAAATGTATTTTTATGAGCATGATCTTTTGGTATACGCTAACTTGTTATTACCCTATAAAGTAAAGAATGCTTAGAACAGAACGCTCCAGAGACGGAACTTGGCGGCACAAAAGTCGCCGGTGTAAAATGCTAGTACTCTTTGACTTGAAAAAGGGGCTATTGACGAAACACAGTGATAATCAGAAGATAACATAGAGACAGAACTTGGCGACACAGAGATTCCTGCATGACTTGCATTATTTTGTAGGACAATCAAAATGAATTTTTATAAGCACTTCTTTTGTTCATTAACTTTTTATTACCATATATTGTAAAATGAATACAAATGATATTGACGATAAAACCAGGACCACGGAAAGCACTCAGAGATCGATTTTAGGCTCTATTTATTCTTTTTATGGCCTATATCGTCTTGCTCATTTTCAAACCATCCCTGTGCACATATTACCAAGGGGCAGTGACGTATCTAGAAGTCTTGAATTTTTTTTTTTTTTTTTTTTTACTTAATAGAAAATGTATTCATCGCACTTTTAATATGTTTTAAATAATGTTCTTATTTTGTTTTTCCTCGCGGGCCACACTATATTGCTTGCTGGCCAAATTTGGTCCGCGGGCCGTTTTTTAAGAACCATTGAACTATATTCTACACTACTCTTGAATTTCTGAATATATAAAGGTGATTTATATTATGCATGTAGCTGATAGAATTATAATACAACAATAAATACAAATTCGTACGGTATTGATTTGAAACAAAAATTAGTCATTTCTATATTACAAACATTGTCAACCATTGTAACTGGACTTAAGTATACCTAGAATACATAGTTTATATTTTAATTGAATCTTTTATCTTAATAATGTGCTCATTACTCCAGTTTGTAAGGACGCAAGAAACCAGTGTAGGCAATGCATTCAAATATTCTGTAATCATTTAATCTGTTGAATGCTAACATATTGTTATGTCGAGAATAGTAAATAAATTAATAAAGATTATATCTTTGTTAATTAAGGCGAAGAGACACCTTGCCCACCGGGAACAACTTCTCCAAATGGATATTCTCCGAATTGTTTTGGTAAAGTTTCAATTGTTCATTTTACTTTGAAAAATTGTAAATGTAGTTCTGACAAAGATACATATAAGGCCTAATAGACATAGGATTTTCAAGTTTTTTTTCTTTACATGATCCTCAACAATTTCTTCTTTTTCATAAATACATTCAAGATTCTAGATTATTTTATTTGAACTAGGCCTATTTCACATGAAATGCATACTGAGATTAAAAACCTAGGCCCTATATAATCCTGTTAAAATAACACCAGATTAAAGAAAAAATATTAAAATACAAATATGAAAGAATAGCCCTAATATTTGTCGAATAAAAGTTGGCCGATAAAATTCTGGCTATAGAATCTGACTAAATACAACATAAAAAAAATTTTATGTATTAAAATATAATAGTAATAAGTTGGAGTATTGTATTGGCGCTTGTATACAAGAGGCAAGATCCTAAAATTTGTATTAAATGAAAGTATTAGATGTATTTCGGAATCTGCTTTTGATTAGGGCTTTCGAGTTCTTAATCATCCTGGTGGTAGATAATTAAATTTATTAAAGAGTGGATGTGAAAATTAAGACATGATTCTCTAAATTATAGTTTGTAAGATACTTAAAGTAGGGTGCGGGCGTTCACCCTTACATGACACATACATTGATTATTAATGCGTTGAATATTGTAATTAATTGTAATGCATATAATTTTCCATGTTTAAGCCCCGCCCCCAAAACTTCATAAACAGCCGCTGTTATATCTAGAGGAGAGGTCTAGTGGGTTTTATCTGCTCTGTGTGTTCGAGTATCCTGATCATCAAAATGTCTCATTCGATGTGATTTGGTCATCGGAGAAGGATGAACTTCACCGTGAAACCTTATTTAAATCCGGGAATTCAACGCTGCCCGGTGAAATGATTGATGTTAACCATCTTCTGGTAAGAAGATAAGGACTACATTCCTATATACAGTATATATAATAGGCACTGTAACGAGTTACCATAGCCTATACACAAGTAAGGATAAAAGCAAAATGGCTGGCGTAAATTAATGCAAATGCCTACCCTATTCATGCACCACGTACTATAGGCTTATGCATCAAACACCTCAGGGAACTGTTAAATATTAGAGTACTCCAGTAAATCGTTGTTTGCATTCAATACCCACTCACCTAATGCTTAGGAATTTAACTGTAGATAAGTTACTCACTAAAATATTTGTCGAACCAGCATTTAGGCTATTACATATGATTTTATCACAACACGTTTTACAAATCAAGTTCATAGTTATATACAACAGCGCCCTCGGTTTTACGTATTCTAAATACAAATAAATACTGTTCTGAAACTTTAAATACACTCACGCATGATGATTATAATTGGGCAAACTGGCGACGCAC